AGAAAAGTGTCAGAAGCTGCATATGTCAGAGTCATCAATCAGCCTCATACTAGACGACATCTTTGGTAGTGATGGCCTGGTGAATGCCGAAACGAAGGCAGAGAACACAAGAAGGTACGAAGAACTTCAAAGAGAATGGGATGAACTTGAAAGAATGGAAACAAAGAAAGATCCTAAATTCTCCAAATACTTCCGAACACACAAACACGATGACATATGGAATCATGCCACTCCCAAGGTACCACTTAGATATACTTAGATACACAGCTATTTMAATAAAATTATTTTACATTAAATTTCATTYCACTTCAGACACTATTTATTGTGCAATMTTATTTATTTATGAGTTTTAAACAAAATGATTTATTCTTTTATATATTCAATCATCTATCTATTCATTCCTTTCTTTCTTTATTCATTCATTCATCTGTTTATTCATTATTTTATTTCTGTATTTTTTATTGCTTTKTTTTKTTTGTTTATTCATTCATTTATTCGTGCATTCATTTATTTCTCAGTTCATTTACCTGGTCATTWATTTCTTTATTCATTTTTTCTTCTTTTCTTTTGTTTCTTTATTTTTTATTTCTTTATTTCTTTATTCATCCATCCATTCATTTCTTTCTCTTTATTTATTTTTCCAGGTTGCTAGAGAAGCAGKGTTCGGAAACAGATGCCCAACAAATAACATCCCTGAGTCCATCAATGCTCTTTTGAAGAGGTGGCAAGGCTTTCAGGCAAAGGACATCAGTGCCTTTGTCGACGACCTGAAGGACTTGGTGGACAGACAGAAAATGGATGTGAGGAGGGCATTCATTGGCACTGACAGCCCTTATGTTGTCAGAGAAGAGTACCGAGATTCAATTGACAGAAGCTTCTTTCAAAASAATCCTGGAAATCGAACCTGGCCTACCAAAAAGCCATTAGTTCAGCCATCGAGATATAATGAAGTACTTAAGTACAAGTGCAAGCCAGCCAGCTCAGCAACCTCAGCCAGCTCAGCCAGAGTACACCAGCCACAGATTGGAGGTCCAGACATAGATATTGTCGAAACTCTTTGCCACGAAAGTCTAGCAGGGTTATTCACAAAGAATGATTTAAAGTCTCTCACAGCCAAAGCAAAGCAACTTGTTAAAGATAACACTGTAAGAGAAGGCTTCGAACCCAATACATATTTCATCAAAAGTTCCAGCAAACCAGCCCCACATATTGTCAAGAGCTCTTCTAATGGAAAGTTTCTGTGTGATAGTGATTGCCTTGGCTAMAAAGCAAGGAAAATATGTTCCCATGTTATTGCAGTTGCTTTCGCACAGAACAAGCTTCCACAGTTCCTAGCACAATTTACCACCAGTGGTAGTTCAACTGTGAATCTAACTAACTTAACATGTAACAATGTTAACAAAGATGCAGGGCGAAAGAGACCTAGGTCAAGAAAGGGAAGATCTAAATCTCCAGACACCATGACGACAATGAAACAAAGTAGGACACTTGGAGAACTGTTCAATGAGAATGATGAAACGYCAAGTGATGATGAGTACTCTGCTGTAGCTGGTACACCATCTAAACCTCTCAGAGTAACTCTAAGAAGGAAAAGGCCAGCGAAACCTCAAGTGTCCCCTACTACAAGCACACCTTATCAGCTTATTGACATCACTGGACGGATAAGAAAGTGTGCAGGATGTGGAGGCCTGCTCAAGGATGGCCCCGATCCTTTCAGTCGACATCAACTTGACGAGAAGATGTGCATAAGGCACAAAGAGCATGACTTTGTGTGGCTTGAGCGAAGCTCACAATGGAAGAAAACCTTTGATAATAAGCATTATCATATCTTCAGCAACTGTGTCAGGAGCAGAAATGGTGACACCTTTAATGTGTCATCAGTAGATATAGCTTTAAATCATACTATTGTTGAAGCTGAGATGTCTTTTCTAAAAACCAGATTTTCCTCTTAGTTTAGTTTGCCAGATATAAAGAGCACATTTCCTTGTTATCTTATTGTGATCACGTTTTTAATTTACCTTTCACCATTTGAAGTGATATA